GGAGGGAGGGAGGGAAGGAAAGAGGGAGGGAGGGAAGGAAGGAAGGAGGGAGGGAGGGAAGGAGGGAGGAAGGAAGGAAAGGAAGGAGGGAAGGAGGGAGGGAGGGAGGGAGGGAGGGACTGTAGATCAGGGTCTGGATGGAGACCTGGTTCTGTCAGTAAATGATCCAAGGCACCAGGTGCTGGAAAGAGAGCAGGAGGGGAGGGGAGGGGAGGGGAGGGGAGGGGAGGCCCATGGCACTGCCATCTAGAAGGGTAACGGCTCTTCCGCAGGAATGTTGAGGATGACGTCCATGTCTGGGGTGCACCTGATGGGAGGCAGCACAGAGGGGAGTGAGAGGCTAGCAGGGGTGTCAGAGCTGGGGGTGTGGAAGCACCCGCTCAGGGAAGTCTTGCTCTTTAGAACTCTGCTACTTAGTTGGGTTGGGGGCAATCTCAAAATACAATCTGTATTTTGGGATTGCCCCACTCAAAGCCCAACTGTGCATACACAAGCATGCACACACACACATCAAAAATAGAAAAGAAATTAGTATGGCAGGATGAATGTTCCCCTGACAAGTCTGAGGTCAAGAGGGAGCAGGAACTCAGCTCTGAAATGCTGAGGCCCATCAAGACGATCGCTGTCTTTGGAGTGAGGATGGCTGGTTTGTAACTTGATGCTATGTCACCTTGAACAAGCTATTTCTACTCTCCCAGCCTCATTCCTTCAGTAGGCACTTAAGTGAAAACCACTCATTAAGTGCCAGACCCCAGGTAAGCCTCAGTTTCTTTATCTGTCAAATGGGTTTAACATTCTAACCTCAGTCATTGGTGGGAAGATTCAATGAGACCATGCTAGCAGGTAGCAAGTGCTCAGTAAATGACAGGCATTATTATTTCCATGAAACTAGCAAAAGAGATGGATTCCCCAGCACAAACATTGAAGAGGCTGAAGGATTATATTCTCTTTTCACTCTCTTCCAAGGAGACCATCCTCTCTCATGGTTTCAATAATATACTGACACCCATGAAGTATTTAGGCATGAAATGTCAGGATACTTGCAATTTACAATACTATTGGCCAAAAAAATAAAAAATAAACGAACATGAAACCAATACAGGAAAAAAAAACAATTTCTAAATATAGATGGGCAACTAGCTATTCACTATACCGTTCTACTTTTCTTTATATTTGAAATTTTTCATAATAATAGTTTTAAAAAAAATTCATCTCTATGCTGGCAACACCCAAATTTCTTCTTCCAGCCAGTATCTGTCCTCTGAGGCCCACACTCACCTTGTCAACTGCCCACCCAATGACTCCACCTTAGTACCTCACAGAAACCAAACCTACTGTCCAAATCAACTGTATTTTTTTTTTTTTTTTTGAGACATGGTCTCACTCTGTCACCCAGGCTGGAATGCAGTGGTACGATCACGGCTCAATACTTCTGGGATTTCATGTTCATTTTTTTTTTTTTTTTGACAAATAGTATCGTAAATTGCAAGTATCCTGACACAGTCATGTGCCACCACACCTGGCTAATTTTTTAATTTTTTGTAGAGATGGAGGTCTCACTATGTTGTCTCCCTGGTCTCAAACTCCCAACCCCAAGCTATCCTTCTTCCTCAGCCTCCTAAAAGCACTAGGATTACAGGTGTGAGCCACCATGCCTGCCTCCAAGTGAACTTTTGACTGTGCCTACATACTCATCCTTCACCCCATCCCCGCCTTCCCAACCTCTGCATTTGGCACCACCACCCCCCCCCCTGCAAAAGTCAGGAACCCAGGGGTTATTCTTGACCCCTCCCTTTCCTGTACTTCCAAAGTCGTACAAGTCCTTCTTATCTTCCTAAATATTTCTCTAACCCATCTACTTTTCCCATCTCTTATGCCACATGCTTGGCCAGGCCACTCCCACGTTCCCCCGGACAACTGCCCTCACACCAATTGGACTTCCAGCTGCCACTGACTCCTTGCCAATCTCATGCCCATGCTCCTTTCTTTTAGAAAGAGTCTTGCTCTATCACGTAGGCTGGAGTGCAGTGGCACGATCTTGGCTCACTGCAACCTCTGCCTCTTGGGCTCAAACAATCCTCCTGCCTCAGCCTTCCGAGTAGCTGGGACTACACGCACACGCCAACATGCCTGGCTAATTTTTGTATTTTTTGTAGAGATGCGGTTTCACCATGTTGCCCAAGCTGGTTTCGAACTCCCGGGCTCAAGTATTCCTCCTGCCTTGGGATCCCAAAATGCTGGGATTACAGGCATGAGCCACCACATCCAGCCCACCATGCTCTTTTCAAACTGGCTTTATTTGAATACAAATCTGATCATGTCACCATGTGGCTTAAGATCCTTTGCTTCTGGGATCAGGCAGAAAATCCTGGCCTATGGGGCACTGCATGGAGTTCCCTAGGAGCCGATTTGCCCTGCTACCTGCCTGCCACTCTCCCTGTCACTCTGCATTCCAACCACACTGGCCTCACTCAGCTCCACGTCAATTAGAAAAGCAGAATCAGGGCCAAGCACAGTGGCTTACACCTGTTATCCCAGGACTTTGAGAGGCTGAAGTTGGAGAATCATCTGGGGTCAGGAGTTCAAGACCAGCCTGATCAACATGGAGAAACCTCATCTCTACTAAAAATACAGTATAAGCCAAGCGTGGTAGCGCATGCCTGTAATCCCATGACTCAGGAGGCTGAGGCAGGGGAATCACTTGAACCTGGGAGGTGGAGATTTCGGTGAGATTGCGCCACTGCACTCCAGCCTGGGCAACAAGAGCGCAACTTCATGTCAAAAAAAGAAAGAAATGCAGAATCACACTGGGCGTGGTAGCTCACACCTGCAATCCCAGCATTTTGGGAGGCCGAGGCAGGTGGCTCACTTGAGGTCAGGAGTTCAAGACCAGCCTAGCCAACTTGACAAAACCCTGTCTTTACTAAAAATATAAAAATTAGCCAGGCGTGGTGGCACACACCTGTAGTCCCAGCTACTCAGGAGGCCGAGACAGGAGAATCACTTCAACCCAGGAGGCAGAGGTTGCAGTGAGCTGAGATGGTGCCACTGCACTCCAGCCTGGCTGACAGAGCAAGACTTTGTCTCAACAACAACAACAAAAATGCAGAATCATGAGCCCCACTCAGACCTATGACTTGGAATCTGCTTTTTAACGAGATCTCCCTGTGTTTCCTAGGCATGTTCCAGTGGGAGAGGCTCTGCTGAACAGCGTGCCATTTCTACTTTTTAGGAGGGAAAAACTGCTTCCTTGCTCCTGGTGTTCCCTTCTACGTGGAAGGGCATCCATGAGTGTATTGCTTCTGGCCTCTCTCTGCCCCTTTATATTCTGCTCTTGGAAAGGGTTATGACCACTGGCATGTGAGTGTGAGGAGCGGAAGGGGACGTAAGGAGCACAGTCCCTTCCTCTCTTAGCAACGAGCAACCCGAAAGGACTCCGCTTTTCTCTGCCCCAAGGCCTGGCTCCACATGAGTCCAGTTCCACCACAATTGGGTGGCTCAATCTGCCTAATTCTGGGTTCACTATTCAGAGGCCAACATGCCTAGAAATGTAAGCCACAGGCCATAAGATCAGCTTTACCAGAATAAAGGTGATCACCGGGTCCACATGCACCTTACCCCTTTCAGTCTCATTCACTGTGTTCAGAGCTCAGGTAAAGACAACGGGTGACTAATTAGTACATTCCACAGAGACCCTTGCACCACCCCATAGAACTGCTCTTCTTTCAGCTCCCCCAGTAGTCCCCTTCACCTAGTGAATTTCTATGCATCCTTCAGGGCTCAGTTCAAATGTCACATCCTCAGGAAAACCTTCCTTGACTGCCCAGCCTCGCTGTCCTAAGAGTCACGTTCACAGTGGCATGCATTCTACTCAGTAGCTCCAGGCTCCACTGCAACTCACATTTATTTGTGGTTCATTATCACCTCATGTCCAGTTCCCTCTTTGGTTCCATGAGGGCAGGGTAAGGACTGTTTTCACTCACATGGTGCCTGGCATTCAGAGGCACTTCATAAATCCAATAGTATTTTGCTGTTGTTGTTGCTGTTTGTTTTCGTATTTGTTTGAGACAGAGTCTTGTTCTGTCACCAGGCTGGAGGGCAGTGGCGCGATCTCAGCTCACTGCAACCTCCGCCTCCCAGGTTCAGGCAATTCTCTTGCCTCAGCCTCCCGAGTAGCTGGGACTACAGGCGTGTGCCACCACACCCGGCTAATTTTTTGTATTTTAGTAGAGATGGGGTTTCACCATATTGGCCAGGATGGTCTCAATCTCCTGACCTCATGACCCACCCTCCTCGGCCTCCCAAAGTGCTGGAATTACAGGTGTGAGCCACCATGCCCAGCTATTGTTGTTTTTAGAAACAGAAGAAAAGGAAGAGACAGCTATAGGACAGGAGAGGAGAAGGAAGGAAAAGGATAGGAGGGAGAGACAGACAGAGATGAAGACGAAAAATTAAAAAAATTTGCAAATGCTAGGCTCTGCCATGCACGGTCCTGTGGTGTCATCATGGAGAGGCAAGCCTGGGTGACCCCAACCCAACCACAGAGGGCTTGCTCCAAGGGAGGGCAGGCAAAGAATTGGTTTGGGGAGGAAATCCTTCCCCTGGGGCCCAGAAACCTGTCAAGTGTAGAGGACATCCTTCTCTCCTTGTGGGGTGTCTTCCAGGCTATTCTTCCCTGAAGCCAACTGCCCCACTCAACTCTGCCTTCCTCAAAAAGGCAGAAGTGGAAGGCTGTACCCATTTGGCTGACACATGGAATCTGTGAACTGGAAGGGTCCTCAGGGATTACATAACCCAGCCTGCCATGTACAGATGGGAATCAGAGGCCTCTGCAGAGATGGGAAAGGTCACATCTGCCCCTGGTCAGTGGCAGATCTATGGTGGAAACCCAGGGATTCCCATACAGGGGTTCTGCCATCCATATCAGGATGCCTTCCCCATACAGGGGTTCTGCCATCTACACCAGGCTGCCTTCCCCAAGAACAGAGAGCCTCTGTGGGCCCAGAGTGTGGCTGGTCTACAAGGCAGTGGCAAAACGATCACATACTTGGGTCTCCGAAGCAGAACATCCTCAAATATGACCTCTCGGGGTTCCCGGATCTGGGCCTGGAGCTCTTCTACCTCGGCCCTTAATACAGGCATATTCTCCTCAAACTGGCCAATAAACTGAGAGGAAAGGCAGAGCAGGGGAGAAGTGAGAAGCCAAATGGCCCCCAACCAAAGAGAGAAAGGCCAAAATGAACAAGGAGCAAAGCTATCTGGGAAAATGGTATGGGCTCTGCCGCCGGACTTGCTGAACTCCAGAGAGGGGACCTCCCCATGCAGGGTAGGGCTGACTCCCAAGTTAGTGACACTATTCATCGGTGCTGAAACAGTTGAAGGGTCACAGAGAATGGAGACAGGTTACAAAGTGGTTGGGGAGCGCTCCATCATGGGAATCAGTGGGGCTGGCAGAGATGGTGAAGGGCATGCACACTAAAAACTGGGGAAGGGGAAAGATAATGAAAATTAATTCAAGAAGGCAGTGATGGTGAAGTTCATTAACACTGATAATGGGTGGTGGGCAGTGACAAGAATCAAGGGGTAAAGATGCATGGTGGTTAATGGCTGAATGCATGATGCTTGATGACAGTGCAAACGGATCAGTGCCAGTGATGCTGGCTAATGAGGCAAGGCTGAGGTCGGTGCCCATCGCCTCCCCAGATGAATGACAAGTGACAGTAATGGCACTGGCAAGGAGACAGGCCCACACCAGTGTCAGAGACCTCCTAAGCACCAGATCAGGAGAGGCCTGCCTCACTCCCACAGGCTGTGGGGACTGCCCACCCACTGCTCCCCTGCAGGGACCACCACCTTCCTTGCCCACGCACTTTTCTGAACCTGTGAATGCATTTCAGCGAGGCCTGGCTTTCCCAAACCATCTGTAGAAGAGCCTTCTCATGAGGACGCTGGGTTTTCTATGAAGAAAGAAGAGGTCTGGCCCCCAGGTGCCTCTTCCTGGGCAGCAGAACATGGTAGAGACTGATGGGGCTCCAGTGGGCATGGAGGCAGAGGATGCGGAAGGGGCGGGGCAGGGGTGGGACCTGGATCCCCCATCCCCCACAGCAACTGGCTACTCACTGCCACCAGAGAACTCAGAACTTTTTTCTCCTCCTTCTGAATCTTGTCGGACAAGGACTTCAGGACCTTTCTGTGCATCTCACTGAGGTCATCCAGCTCATCCTGGGAGCCAGCAGAAGGGTGTTGGCCACCAGCCCTGCCACCCACACGGTCCCGTGAGGCAGGGGCAGGGGCTCCCCTACCTGCTGGCTGTCCTTAACCCCCTGCAGCTGGCGTACAAGGGTGGCGATCTGGACAGACTTGATGGAATACTCATGGTCCATGTAAGTGCTCAGGAATTTCACATCCTCCTGGGTCTTGTCGATCTTGGCATTCAGCTGCTCCACCTGCTGCTCCAGATCTGGGGAGGGGTTAGGGAGGTCAGCAGGGACAGAAGGCAAGACCTTCCCTCAAGGACCCTTCCCAGGAAGCAAGGTCTCCTTGGCCAATAAATTGGAGTCTGGGTTAAGGCGACCTCACACAGAGCTGGGAGGTGGTTAAAAATTAAGGCTCTAGAGCGTTTTGCACCGCTGCAGGAGAAGAGGCAATGCTGGGTAGGGAAAAGAAAGGAAACTGATCTCTAGATCAGTCCCCACTCTGCTACTGACTTGCTGTGTGGCCCTCACCAAGACTGTCCCTCTCTGGACTTCAGTCTCCCCAGAGACACACTCAAGGAAGTGAGACCAGGGAGATGGGGTGACAGGGGTTCCCAAGACACAACCCACAGCAGGATTAAGACAAAGTCTATCCTCTCTTCCTCCAGAGAGAGATCCCCAGTGTCTGGGGTTGCCTAATCCACCGCCCCTCCACTCAGCAGATGTGTAGCCTGCTCAGGGAAAAGGAACCACAGGCCAGACAGGATGGAAGCCAAGAGTCCTGGATTCTAGCCCAGCCACTGACTCCCAGAAGAACCTTGGCAGGAAATGGAGCCAGGCTAGGACTGGATTATGGCTCCTAGCTATATGACCTTCCACAAACCACTTCACCTCTCTTAGCCTCGGCTTCCTGACCTGTAAAATGGGAGGACAGTTTCCCTGCTTCCAGGTAGTTCTGACTGAGCGTGTGTCTGTAACAGTGCAGACACATGGGGCCTGGAAACAGCTAAGTGCTGAGTAAGTAGGCTATTCGCTCTGTATCTTAGCCTTCTCATCTGCCTAGAAGGGAGACGACAGGCCTGAGGGTTTCTGAATGGCATACAAGGTGAATGCCCTGCTGCTGACCTCCCCAAGGGGCTGGGGGGAGAGTCAAGGGGTTCACCCAGGGATTCTTTCTCTTTCTTTTCTTTCTCTCTTTCTTTCTTTCTCTCTCTCTCCTCTCTCTCCTCTTCTCTCTCTCTCTCTCTCTTTCTTTTTGAGATGGAGTTTTGCTCTTGTTGCCCAGACTGGAGTGCAATGGCGAGCTCTTGGCTTACTGCAACCTCCCCCTCAAGGGTTCAAGCAATTCTCCTGGCTCAGTCTCCTGAGTAGCTGGAATTACAGGTGTGCACCACCATGCCTGGCTAATTTTGTATTTTTAGTAGAGACGAGGCTTATCCCTGTTGGTCAGGCTAGTCTCAAACTCCTGACCTCAGGTGATCCACCCGCCTCAGCCTCCCAGAATGCTGGGATTACAGGCATGAGCCACCACACCCCATCGACCAGGGATTCTTACAGCTCGTCTTGCATTTCTTCTTTTCCTCCCATTCCTGGAGCTCAGACTTCAATTGCTGCAGCCTCTTCTTGTTTAAGTACTCCAAGATGTCGATGACGGTCTGTGGGAGGAGTGGGGTCCACTCACCCACAGGCTCTGCTGGCTCAGAGGAGTCCCCAATCCCAACCCCACTCCCAGAATCCTGACCAGAGGCCACTGGGGATAATAACAGTGTCCACCCATAGGGTTGTTGTAAGGACTACATAAATACATACAGATCGCCTGCTATTACACGTACAGGTGTTTGCAAACGCTGGTGGTGGTGGCAGCTACCTCTGGTGCACGGGTACAATATGTGCCAGGTAAACCCCCTCTGGGACGGGTGCTACATTTCACAGAGCTCAGGGAGCCAAAGTTAACTCAGAGCCTCCTGGCCCGTGAGTGCTGGCGCGTTGGGACAAAACTCCCACCTCCGTCTGCTTGCAAAGCCCAGGCGAGGGGAGTGAAGGGTGAAGAGATGCGTCTTCCAGTTGCTGGAAGCAGCATGTGCAATTGGCGGGGAAAGGCAGGAGAGGGCGCCCGAGTGAGCGGAGGGAGGGAAGGCGGGCGGGCACGGCCGGCGCAGAGGGCAGACGCGGGTCTCACCGTCAGGATGTCCTGCTGTTGCAGCATGGCCCGCACATTCAGGGCCGTGCGGTTCTCCATGTCCTGGATGCTCTCGATCAGCTCCTCGTTGAACTTGGCGAGGAAGTTCTCATGGCTTTGGAGCTCTCGCAGAGAGGTCTGCCGGTTCCTGAGCATCGTCTGCGGGCGGAGGGAAGAAGAGAGAGGCGGCGCTGCGCCCGGCTAGGCTGGAGCCCGCGAGAGCCCATGGACCCCCCGCCCCAACCCTGCCACTCCCGCCCCCTTGCGGCCTCCGCTGGTAAATGCGGCCCGAGCTGGGCGGCGGTTCCCCATTGTCTGCGCTGCCGGGGAGCTCGGGGACGCTGGTCCGTTCGGAAACGCACGTGTACCCATCATTTCACATCCCTGAGATGCAGGTGCATCTTCTAATTCGTGGCGTGTAATCATCTAATCAACAAATGTATTATTAGTGGGTAAAGATGTGTCTTAATATCAATGGCTTCTCATAATCAATGAAATATAGAAATAATAATAAGGGCCGGGCGCAGTGGCTCAAGCATGTAATCCCACCACTTTGAGAGGCCTAGGTGGGTGGATCACGAGGTCAGGAGTTCGAGACCAGCCTGGCCAACATGGCGAAAGCCCGCCTCTACTAAAAATACAAAAAATAGCCGGACATGGTGGCGCATCCTTGTAATCCCAGCTACTGGGGAGGCTGAGGCAGGAGAATCACTTGAACCCGGGAGGTGGAGGTTGCAGTGATCTGAAATCGCACCACTACACTCCAGCCTAGGTGATAGAGCAAGATTCTGTCCCAATAATAATAATTAATAATAATAATAATAATAAATGCCCCAGGAAGGTAAGAAGGTGTCAGAGCTACCACCATGTCTGGAAGAGAAGCAGGGAGGCAAAGTGGATGATGGTAAACGTCAGCATTTCCTGGCAGGCCGTGGGGCTAATGAGTACTCTCATTTCATACAACAGCCCCAGTGGAACAAGGAGGGTATAAGGGTTAAGTGACTCCCCTAACGTTACACCCAGCAGATGCATAAAACCTATAGTAATAATAACAATAGCAATTGTTGAGGGCCCTCTACATGACAGGCCAGGTGCCGTGCCTTGCTCCGCAGGTAGCACATGGTATTGGTTCACCCTCCAGCAGCTCTATGTTTACTAACTTTATTTTGCTGATAAGTGGAGGCTCAGAGTGTTTAATGACTTGCCCAGTGTCACACAGTCAAGAAGTGGCAGGGCTGGAACTGGAAAGCCAGACTTCTGAGCCCCAATGCCTTTCCACTATACTAAAACAAGAACTGAGTATGCTTAAAACTGCAAGGCATGGCTGAACCACGTAGTGACTAAGAGTTGGATGTTAAGCCTAGACGCACCTTGGTTCAAATCCCAGCTCAGCCACTTACCATCTAAGAGAGTCTAAGAGAACCGAGGCAAGTTAGTTAATGTCTCAGAGCCTCCCTGTGCTCATTCTAAAGGTGAGGGAACTAATACCTGTTTTACAGAGCTGCCGTGAAATATAAATGAGATTGGACAGGTGCAGTGGCTCATGCCCATAATCCCAATGCTTTAGGAGGCCCAGGTGGAAGGATCACTCAAGGTCAGGAGTTGAAGACAAGCCTGGGCAACATAGTGACACCTCATCTCTGCAAAAAGTGGACAAAATTAGCTGGGCATGGTGGTGTATGCCTACAGTTCTAGCTACTCAGGAGGCTGAGGTGGGAGGATTGCTTGAGCCCAGAAGATGGAGGCTGCAGTGAGTTGAGATTGTGCCACCACACTCCAGCCTGGGTAACAGAGCAAGACCTTGCCTCAAAAAGTAAGTAAGTAAATAAATAAAATTTTTAAAAATTAACAGGTTATCTGGGCATGGGGATGTGCACCTACAGTCCCAGCTACTTGGGAGGCTGAGGCAGGAGGATCTCTTGAGCCCAGGAGTTTACGGCTGCAGTGAGCTATGATTGTGCCATTACACTTCAGCCTGGGTGACATAGCAAGACCCTGTCTCTAAAAAACAAAGACTAAATAAATAAATAAATGAGATAAAATTCACAATCAAGCCTCTTAGTGAGAGTGCACTCATGTGTACTTGGTGAACAATAGCTGATACTATTGTTTCTGGCTCTAACCCTCTAACCCTGCCATAAATATTTGCTCTTTCATTTGTTCCTGTTCTTCCTCATTTCTCCGTCCTTTCCTAAAACTACCCCTTCCTAGCCCTCAGGTCCTTGATTTCTCATATAACAGTAATCACGTTGATGTATTGAGTGCTTCCTATGTGGCTGATACTGTGCTAAGCCCTTCACACGCACAGCAGCACATCAGCACATCACCCTCACAGCAACCCCAAGAGACAGGCACTATTATTAGGCCAACGTTATAAAAGTGGACACCAGTCAGCCATGGTGGTTCTCACCTGTAATCCCAGCACTTTGGAAGGGCAAGGAGGAAGGACTGCTTGAGCCCAGGAGTTTGAGACCAGCCTGTGCAACATAAGGAGATCCCATCTCTACAAAAATTATCTGGGCATGGTAGTGCATGCCCATAGTCCCAGCTACTCAGAGAGGCTGAGGTGGAAGGATCACTTGGGCTCGGGAGGTCCAGGCTCCAGTGAGCCATGATCATGCCACTGCCCTCCAGCCTGGATGAAACAGCCAGATCCTATCTCAGTCAATCAATGTGTACACCAAGGATTAAATTCAGTAGCTTTTCCAAGGTCACACATAGCAGAGCTGTCATCCTTAAAGTCAGGGCTCCAAGCCACTCCACTATCTTGTCTCCGTATCTCCAGAAGAGATACCCAGAAGCATCTTGTGAAATATGCTATTCTCCAAGTCATGGGACCACTCAACCAGCACCACCTGGGTTTCAGCTCAAATGTCACCCACTTTAGTAGCCTTTCCTTAGCACCCTAACTAAAACAATTACTGCCACACTCCCTCCTCCATGCCTCTAGCTCCCTAACCTTATTCTTAGGCTTTTTTTTAAAAAAAGAGTTTTGATCTTGTTGTCTAGGCTGGAGTACAATGGCGCAATCTCGGCTCACTGCAACCTCTACCTCCTGGGTTCAAGCAATTCTCCTGTCTCAGCCTCCCGAGTAGCTGGGATTACAGGTTCGTGCCGCCATATCTGCCTAATTTTGTACTTTTAGTAGAGATGGGGTTTCTCCATGTTGGTCAGGCTGGTCTCAAACTCCTGACCTCAGGTGATCTGCACACCTCGGCCTCCCAAAGTGCTGGGATTACAGGCGTGAGCCACTGCGCCCAGCCCATCACTTTAAAACACTTTCTTTTATGAATTGTCAGTCTCCCCCATCCAATAGAATGCGAGTTCCCTAAGGTCAGAGGCCACATCACTGGTGAAGCCTCACACTCGGAACAGAACTCGGCACATGATAGGTGCTCCATCAATATCTGTTGACTCACTGAATGAAGATTATGAGAGACAGTATTAAGAACCGGACTGGTTAGGAGCACACGTTTTAAAGCCACATTGTTCAGGTTCAGCTTCTACATCAATCAAAAACACACAAGCCCCTCTAAAGTTAGGGTAAAAATAACAGAAATACCAGTTCCTCCTTTAAGAATACTGGGCCACCTCCAAACCATTTTGCAAGAGAAAAGGTTAAAGGGGGAAAAAAGGTTTCAAAGCAAATTCTATTTTCACTTGTTCTTTATATAGTAGTCATTGTTCATTGAGCTATTAAAAACTTTGTTGAAGAATTATTCTATAGTATTTTGTAGTCTTTATAATAACTTAGTATTTTACTTTCTGCTATGTATGCCAAAGACTCATCTTCCTTTAGGTATTTCAAATACTTTGAAACATTGTTCAGATAATTATAGAAGCCACAAAACAATGTATGGTGAGGAAATTAATTACCTATAATTGTTACCAATTGATGTGAAAATTTTAATTGTCAGTTTCTAAGCCTTGCTTCAAAGTACACTGTATGAAAGTTTAATTTACTGGAAAAAAAATTTTTTTTAGATGGAATCTCACTCTGTCCCCCAGGCTGGAGTGCAGTGGCACCATCTCAGCTCACTGTAACCTCTGCCTCCCAGGTTCAAGCGAGTCTCCTGCCTCACCCTCCCCAGTAGCTGGGACTACAGGTGTGTGCCACCACACCCAGCTGATTTTTATATTTTGAGTAGAAACGAGGTTTCACCATGTTGGCCAGGCTAGTCTTGAACTCCTGACCTAAAGTGATCCACCCACCTCAGCTACCCAAAGTGCTGGGATTAGAGGTGTCAGCCACCACACCCGGCCAAGTTATTGGAAATTTTAAGATAAATAAGATTGTGTTCCTAATGCAATGAAATAAGCAATTCTGATTATTTCTTGAGTCTTAAACAGAACAGCAAATGCTTTGTTTAACTGGCTTTGACCCTTGATCCTGCCATTTCCTGGCTGTGTGACCTGGTGCATGTTATTTATCTCCCTGCACCTCAGTTTCCTGGTTTCTAAAATAGTAAAGAGGATAAGCATGCTCACAGGGTTCCTGGGAGGAAGGAATGAATCAAGTCTGGCACCCAGGAAGTGCTCAGCAGATGTTTGCTAGAACCATCATCCCCATCCCCCCACCCTGGGCCCGGTGTCCAGGGAAGATGCATCTCATACCTTCATTAACCGGATTTTGACCTGCATCTTCCCAGGGTCCAACTTCTGCCTTCTATGCGGTTCTCGTGGATTCTTTGGCTGGTGGCTTGTCACCACCATAGTGGGCATGGATTGCAACACTAGGGGTAGACAGAAAAGGACAGGGAGAGAGTGAGGGTTCTGGCAGGCCTGAGGCCAGGTTCCTGAAGCGCACCAGTAATGAGAGGAGGCCCAGGCCCCGGTCCCACCTCTGGCTGCCTTATAATGTGACACTAGACTGAAGGTGAAACTCACAGCCTTCACTAAGCTCCCAGGACCCATTCTGGGCCTCAATATAAGGGAGGGACAAGCCCAGGTGAAAGCAGTGACTATAGGCATGGACAGAGGGGAGGTGGGGCAGCCAGGAACCCCGCTCTCAACTGTCCAGCCAGAAAGAGAGGCAGGAGCTCCCATTCCGTGTGTCTTTTCAGTAGCTGCTGCAGCACAGGACAGCAAGAAGACCAGAGTCTGGCAGGTCTGAGTCCAAACCCCTGCTCTGCCACCAACCTGGCTGACAGAAGGCCAGATGGGTAGGGGTTAGGAACAAGAAATAATAACCCAGACCATCCAGGTTTAAATCCAGGCTCTTGGCCAGGCGCAGTGGCTGACACCTGTAATCCCAGCACTTTGGAAGGTGGAGAAGGGCGGATCACCTGCAGTCAGGAGTTCAAGACCAGCCTGGCCAACATGGTGAAACCCCATCTCTACTAAAAATACAAAAATTGGCCGGGCGCGGTGGCTCAAGCCTGTAATCCCAGCACTTTGGGAGGCCGAGGCGGGTGGATCACGAGGTCAAGAGATCGAGACCATCCTGGTCAACATGGTGAAACCCCGTCTCTACTAAAAATACAAAAAATTAGCTGGGCATGGTGGCACGTGCCTGTAATCCCAGCTACTCAGGAGGCTGAGGCAGGAGAATCGCCTGAACCCAGGAGGCGGAGGTTGCGGTGAGCCGAGATCACACCACTGCACTCCAACCTCGGCAACAGAGCAAGACAAAAAATTTATATATATATATATATATATATATATACACACATATAATGAATTTAAAAATTGAAAAAGTAAATCCAGGCTCTGCCTTCTGTTAGCTGTGTGACCTCAAGCAGGTCAAATGACCTCTGTGTCCCTCCATTTGTCCACCTATAAAACAGGAATAATCATCATGCCTACCTCATAGGGTTTTCGTGAAGATGAAGTAAGAAGTTACTACACCTTAAAGGTGTTTGGGATAGTGCCTGAGGCATATTCAGTGCTGAATACACATTACCAGCTGTTACTCTTCCTTCTAGTGACCTGAGAACTGGGACCACAACCCCAGACGAAGGCACAGCAACTAGGCAACACTCCAACTGGCCGTCTCTGAAACACTCTTAGAGCTGCGGTTCTGCCAGACAGGGCGTATAGGCATCTGGGGGACATATTCTTAGAATCCCTGTTCCCTCTCAGCCTGTCCGGCAATGACATGAGACTAACCACCCTGGTGGGTCCAGCTCTATTCAGTCCCCACCAAAATCCCTGCTTCAGGTACAACCCAGTTTATCTCAGAAATATATTAATCTCTTTAATAGATCAATGTCCTTCATCCTGAGAAATGCTGGCATTAACTATGGAGATGATGAAGCCAATTAATTTTGTGTTTAATTTATAAATTACCTGTATATATCCGGTTTTTAATTATATTGTGTAAGAGATAGAATGATTAATAGATTAATCTTGTGATTCTAATTTTAAAGTGTAAGTGGGATTTTGATTTAGATTTAAGTTGAAAGGTTTAAGACACTCCTATTAAATAAGTATAAATTAATTTTATTACTTAAGAGAACATAAGATTACCTATATTAATTTTTATTTTCCGAGACAGAGTCTTGCTCTGTCACCAGGCTGGAGTGCAGTGCCATGATCTTGACTCACTGCAACCTACGTCTCCCGGGTTCAAGCGATTCTCCTGCCTCAGCCTCCCCAGTAGCTGGGATTACAGGCATGCACCACCACACCCGGCTAATTTTTGTATTCTTAGTAGACACAGGGCTTCACCATGTTGACCAGGCTGGTCTCAAACTCGTTACCTCGTGATCCATCCACCTCAGCCTCCCAAAGTGCTGGATTACAGGCATGAGCCACTGCTCTCACCAAGTTTTTTCTTTTTTGAGACAGAGTCTGGCTCTGTCGCCCAGGCTGAAGTTCAATAATGGCGAGATCTCGGCTCACTGCAACCTCTACCTCCCAGCTTAAAGCGATACTACTGCCTCAGCCTCCCAAATAGCTGAGATAACAGGTGCCTGCCACCACACCCAGCTATTTTTTTATTATTACTCTTTTTAATAGAGACAGGGTTTTACCATGCTGGCCAGGCTGGTCTCCCGACCTCAGGTGATCCCATCCATCTCAGCCTCCCAAAGTGCTGGGATTACAGGTGTGAGCCACCACGCCCAACCAGATTACCCGTATTTAGAATTTTATGTATTAGATATATAAGAATTATGTATATATCCAATGGTTTTGTTAATCAGACAAGTGAACTATTTGAAAATGAAAATGGATAGGTTAAATTTCAAGATGTGGCTTAAAAGTTTTAAGAGAATTTAATTAACCAAGTTCCAAAACTCTCTTATAAGTGTTTATAAAAACTGAAAGATTCTTGACTTGAACTTAAATGCTTAAGGAAGATTTGTAGTTTTAATAATTAAACTTTTTATTTCAAAATAGCTCAGATTCACAAGCAATTTTAAGAAGTGATACAGAGAAGCTGGCTGCGGTGGCTTATGCCTGTAACCCCAGAACTTTGGGAGGCCAAGGCAGGTGGATCATCTGAGGTTAGGAGTTCAAGACCAGCCTGGTCAACATGGTGAAACCCTGTCTCTACTAAAAATACAAAAATTAGCTAGGCATGGTGGCACATGTCTGTAATTCCAGTTACTTGGGAGGCTGAGGCAGGAACCCAGGAGTTGGAGGTTGCAGTGAGCCAAGATCACACCACTGCGCTCCAGCCTGGGTGACAGAGAAAGACTCTGCCTCAAAAAACAACAAAGAAAGGAAAGGAGGAAGGAAGGAGAAAAAAAGAAAAGAAAAGAGAAAGAAAGGAAGGAAGGAAGGAGGGAAAGAAAGAAGGGAGGGAGAAAGGGAGGAAGGGAGGAGAGAGAGAGAGAAAGAGAAAGAAAAAGAAAGAAAAGAAAGGAAGGGA